ATCCCTCTCTGAGGCTCCCTGGCCCCAAGTCCCACTGTCCTGACTGTACCTTCTCTGAACATCCCTTGCCGCACAGATGAACCCGAGGTGACTATTGAGGGATTTGATGGCAACTGGTACCTGCAGCGGATGGATGTGAAGCTCACGTGCAAAGCTGATGCTAACCCACCGGCCACCGAGTACCACTGGACCACGTAAGTGCTGTGGGGCTGGCCGGGCTGGCTGGTCACTGCGGGCGATACCCAGCTGGACCACAGCAGGGCCGCCCACCCCACCTCCAGGAGCCTTAGGTGGAAAATAAATTAGAATTTGGGCTTAAGATTCCCAGTGAGAAGTGGTGCATAAGAGAACACACACACACACACACACACACACGTACATACTTACCCACCCCCAGGCTTCGATAGTGTCAGAGTCAGTGGGACACGCCATTCTGCCCAGGGGGCTTCCCCTGTGATCTGCTTCCTTTCCTCTCCCTAATAAAGAGTTTTGTCATTTTCCTTTGGTGATTCAGCCTGAGTCACTCCCACCCCAACCCCCGGTATTTATTTTTATCGAGGTGTCCCCAGGGAAGCCAGTGTTCTGGAGCATCCCAGATCTTCCTTTGTTCCTATTCCTTCTCTTCAGCACCCCCAGATTCTCAGGGAGGAGGCAGCAGTCTGCCAAGAACGCCTGTGCTCATGGAGTACTGTTCTACAGCCCATCACCCCATTCTTGGCCACATGGTCTTTGGGCCTGGCCCTTGGGGGGGCCTGTCTCCCCCTCAGCCAGCTCTGCTGGCCTGGGCCAACATTCTTCCCAAAGAAGAGCTGGACAGAAGACATAGAAGGACAGGGGCAGGGATAATAAAGAAGGCTGATATGGGTGGCCAGGAAATGGCTACCCAGAGGAGTTTATGCCCTTTTTCTAGGAAGTAGAGGGCACTGACATAGCTGAACTCTTGTCCTCCACTTCCTAGAACAAAAAATGCTTCTCAAAGTGCAGGTGGACAAAGCCTGCATGCCCAGTTCAGCTGTGTGGACTGAGGAGCTGCTGGGTTCAACAGAATCCTAGCTTTGTGCATCTGGAATCAGGAAGAAGGAAGAAGGTCCTGTGTCCTCGGCAAATTCCCAGGCTGCTTCCCACATAAAAAAGTCCTGTGACATTCCCAGCAAGAACATGAGATAGTGAAATGGAACACAATTCCTATCTCATCACCTGAGTGTTTTGTTAAAATACGAAGCCCCAGGCCTTGGCATCTGTGTTATTAACCAGCTATCCTGGAGACCAAGGACCAACAATTAGGAACCATGACTAGTAGGTAGAAAGAACACTGCACCAGGAGGCCAGGATATGGCAAGAGCTTCCCCCATACTGGTTCGGAACCTATAGCTCAAGAGGGTAAGGTGCCAGCCACATACATCAGAGCTGGTGGGTTCAAATCCAGCCCAGGCCTGCCAAACAACAATGATAACTATAACCAAAAATAGCTGGGTGTTGTGGCAGGTGCCTATAGTTGCAGCTACTTGGGAGGCTGAGGCAAGAGAATTGCTTAAGCCCAGGAGTTGGAGGTTGCTGTGAGCTGTGATGTTACAGCACTCTACCAAGGGCAACAGCTTGAGGCTCTGTCTCAAAAATAAAAAGAGCTCCCATACTGCCGCTTACTAGCTGTGTTTCCTTGGCCTTGAACCTCAGGTTTGATCTGTTAAGTGGGACCAATACCTACCTGTCCTGCCTGTAGTTCAGTGTTGTGATAATCAGATATGAAAAACTGAATAATATAAAACTGCCAAATGCCAGAGATTATTATTCTTTTTTCTTTTTTCGTATTTCCAAGACAGAGCCTGTCACTGAACTCAGCAAAAGGGCCAGTGGGGGCTTGGAGCCAAGTGGGTGATACAAGGACAGCTTCCTGGGGCTGGAGAGTCTAACCCTGTACTGTCTCCCAATCCCCATAGGCTGAATGGCTCTCTCCCCAAGGGCGTGGAAGCCCAGAACAGAACCCTCTTCTTCAAAGGACCCATCAACTATAGCCTGGCAGGAACTTACATCTGTGAGGCCACCAACCCCATTGGCACCCGCTCGGGCCAGGTGGAGGTCAATATCACAGGTAGGAAGCTACTCCCTCCCCCACTCCCTACATCCCCCACCTTTGGGTTGTGTCACTGCAGGAAGTGTGTCTTCTCTTCCTGCTTCTCTGGTTCTGCCTTAAGCTCTGGCCATTGGTCTTGCTTTGCTTTTGTTTTTCTTTCACTTAAGGCTGGACAGGAGACAGTCCAGGTGACCCCCAGTCAGAGAGGGACAGGAGAGAAGCTCCAGGAGAGAAGAGGGGAGTGTTGTTTACAGCATTGTTCTTTTCAGGGGTAGAACCTGCCCATGGATTTGCCAGCAGAACACCACCATGGGATACCGGCTTGCGGGGATAAGTTTGCAAGTGGGGAAACCTGCGTGGGGTAGAGGGTGAGACTTTGCTCGAACAGGGAGACTGGAGAGAAAGCAGGGAGATAGCCCCAAGCCATGATGGTGCGTGTGTCCTGCAACTGAAACTCCTGTATCTTTCTCTCCCATCAACTCAGCTGAGGCAGCTCAGCCACCTCATGTCTCAGGGCAAAGGGAGGACAGGGCTAGGATGCTCCAGGGAGAGACTTCGCATGGGCTTGATGTCAGACAGCTGTGATCCTAGACAGGCCCTCATCTGTCAAATGGAGCCGATACGGCCTGCCTTGAAGGGCTATTGTCAGAATTGTACTTAATGCAGGGCAAGTACCTAACACAGATGAGCCCGTCAATAGGTGGCCAGTGCTCCATGATTATGACTCTGACCTCCATCATTATCATTACTTTTAATGGAAGCATCAAAACAAGTCAATAGAGGGGTAATTGTCATCACAGCTTCACATGAAGAGGTGTCTGTAACTTTGTACCTGAGCTAGAATAGGAAGTGGCTAGAAGAGAACATGGCTGTGTCACACTGCTGCCAAGATGGACAGGAAGTGATGTGCACAGGAGGTGACTGCAGGGATATTGAAAACTGGGTGGCGATTACCAGGCTCCAGGCACAGAGCCTGGGGAAGCTCTGAGGATTTGTTAGCTCTGAGTGCGTCTCAGGAGTGGGAGACTTCAGTCCTGGGTGCATTCAAAGGCGCAGCTGCAGAAAGAGCAGCCTGAAACTGTCCAGGGGCTGTGCCTCCCTGTCCTCAGGGCCTTCCGTCACCTCTCCCACCTGGGGGAAAGAGGGTGCAGTCACTGTTTTCAACATCTCCCTGCCCTTGTTTCTAAGAATGGTGACAGGAGGAGGAGCCTGGGGGAAAAGTGAGGGAGCCCTACCCTTAGGCGAGGGTTGGGGGGTTCCCATAGGTTGGCAAGCAAACGGAGGGCCTGCAGTCACACATTTCTATAGCCCACCCCCTGGAGGAAATCTGAGCAAAGCTCAGTTAGAGCTTCTGGGTGCTCAAGCTCCAACCCTAGGGCAGTGGGGGTGATGAGGGGGAGGTAGGAAGAGAGGGTAGCCATGAGGAGTGGGACCGCCCCTCAAGGAGGGCATGCCATATGAGGAACCCCACAGACTTGGCCTGAGTGTGTTCACATACTAGATCTACCTAGCTGTGTGGCCTTGAGCAAGTTCTCACCTCTCTGAGCCTCAGCTTCCTAATCTCTAATACAGAGATAATCATACTTAACTCAGGCTCAGGCTCAGGCTCAGGCTTTTGTGCTCACGCGGTATTCCCTGTATGCCAGAAGGTGGGTCACCAAAGCATTTGTGGTGTGGGCTGGAGCCGGGGGTGGGCCTGGCCACCCTCTGTTCTAGCTTGAAAGGGACGCAACACGCCCAGTTAGGCAGAAGCCAGAGAAGCATGACACTGTCTGCATCACTGACAGGCCCAGGAGCTGCTGGCTGTCCCTGGAGAGGGTCTCCGCCCCAGCAGGTGACCTGAGTCTTTTCAGAGCTGTTTTTTCTTGTGCTTTCGGGCAATTTCCAAGCAGCAGTCAACCTCACTATCCCACATCAGCCAGTGCCCACTGCATTCTCTGGGGGGAACCACCCTGAAGGGCACAGCTGTGCCCTGCGCTCCAAGCCCCACTGGTCTGGAGGGAATACATGAGTGAGAGGGTTAAGTAGAAATTTAATTTTTCATTCTGGCCATTCGTTTGAGTAATAGCTTTGCCCTGAGCTCATCTGGAGAGGGAAATGAGGAGCGGCTGGGGCAGGGCAGAAGGTGGGCAGCAGAGGGTGTGCTGGAGACACATGAGTGTGCCGAGCCACTATACGCCTAGGCACACACACTTTGGCATAGGCCTCGAGGGGCCCCGGGTCGCAGAGGAGGGGGCTCCTGCTACACAGAGAAGTGGGTGTGCAGTGGTGCAGGGTGGAGTACCAGGCAGGGGAGGTATGGGAAGGAAGATGCTGGAATCCAGTGGGCTAGAGTGGAAGGAATAAGGCCTTCTGTGCTCGCCATGAGGAGGCTCTCGCAGGGAGGCAGCATAGGTGAGGCATGTAGGATAGACTGAGCATCCGGGAGGCTGCATGGACCACACCAGGGCACCAGTTAGCTGTCACTGTGATTCTCTAGCAAGCAGCAGCAGGCCCAGGCTGTGGCTGTGGGGATAAGAGAACTGAGATGACCCCAACAGAATTTCCGTGGGTTCAGGCCTCTCCCTGAAGCTCTTTTCAGAGGTTCTTATGCTCAGGTACAATTTCAGAGGGTTGGCCCAGTAGTCACTAAACATGCCAGGGGAGCTCCCCTCTGGTCTCCCTCTGCGGGTCATACTAAGAGTGGGGAGGGGGCCAGGCCTTGACGAAGCTAAAAAAACCAGATGAGGAAGCATCTTCCCTTGAGAGTGTCAGGAGAGTACCCAGGCCTCTCAGGGCAGGACCCAGTCTCTTGCCACCCGCAAGAACAGAGCAAGGAGGCCAATAGGGTGTAGGATGTCTGTCCCAGCTCCCATTTGCAGTGACACTCAGGCTTATCCCGGGGAGAGAAGGTAACTGTCGGCCCATCAAGCCTTTAAGTTCTTCAGACTGAGGGTGGTAGGCCCTGCGGTCAGTGTCCATCTCGAAGGGAGGGGTGTGAGAGCCTGTGAGAGTATGGGTATGTGCCTCCCTGAGCATGAAAACGCAGAGCAGTGTGAGCAGGCCAGCCACCGCCTGCATGCTGAGTGTGCAAATGGGAGCTGTGGCTGTGCTGTGGGCAAACGGGCTTTTCTCTAAGCCGGCAAATGGCAGTGTGTCGGGAGCCTGAGAACACAGCTGCATTCGTGCCTCTGGGAGGATTCAGTTCTCCTCCAGCTTGCGGAGGCCCTGCCTGATGGTCTGACATGATGCACAGCTGCTACAGCTACAGGAGGACAGAAGGTCTTCCCAGAGTTTGACCTCAGGCCTTCCCACTCTCCCTGCGGCTACTGCGCTGCATGCTGGGAACTGTAGTTCCTGCAGCTTCCTGGCCTCGTCCAGGGCTGGAACATTTCCTACTGGAGGAAGCACCAGGCACTGGTTTTGGAAACAAGTCCAAACATTCTCTTTGACCCCCAAACCTCCAGATTCTAGATTAAGACTGCAAACCCTAACCCTTCACTCCACTTGGGGGGGGGGCATCCCCCACACCAGTCCCACCACCTCCGTCTGAACCAACCCGGGTCCCAAAGGAATGCAGAGCCTTCACTGTGCCACTGCCCTGGCCGGCCTGGGATGCCAGAGGGAGGATGCAGCCCTTCAGGAATGGGGCCAAGCTGTCCCCTTTCTAAGAGGATGTGGGGGAGGCCGGCTGGGCCTCTGCCAGCGAGCACAAATGACCCCACTGCCTAGCTCTTCTCTCTCCGCCCAGCTGCGGCCCTTGGGGCTCTGTGCCTGGCACAGAGACAGGAGCTGCTGGCTGAATGTGACAGCTGGAGGTACAGGGTGGAGGGGGCGGCAGGCTTCTCTCCACATCAGACAACCCTCTCTGCTCACAAATGAGTTAGGCCCCCCACCTCCTCCTCTCTTTGGTTCTCGCTCTGAGGTCTACGGCGCTGGGTAGCCGTCGTGGCCATTCTTGTGCTGCTGGGTAGCCCTAGAGTAGCCAAAAGAACCAGGCTTCCCTTTGGTCCCAGAAGATCCCCAGGAAGAGTAAACCTCCTTAGGATTCAGGGAAAAAAGTTAAATAGAGGCCCTGGAGGGGAAAAAAAAAATCAGCATACTCTGGCTCCAGCCCGACTCCAGGGAAACAGGGTCTCCTGTGTGCCCCAAAGCCCTGAATATTTGCTCTGCCTAGAGCCAGGCCTACCTCTCAGATCTAGCCTGGCCATTATAGATTCATTCTTTCATTCACCAAATATTTCTTGAACTCTGGCCACATTCTAGAGAATCTAGGTACTTGGGATACATCCGTGAGCAAAACAGACAAGTCCCTGTCCTTATGGAGCTTACGTTTTAGCACAGGAAGACAGACAATAGATAAAGTACGTTTTAAAAATCACATCATAAACTTGAAATGGAGAAAAGAAGAGGGATGAAGGAAGAGCCTCCTGAGCTACAGTGGGGTTTTTTTTGTCTCTGTTTGATTTGGGGGTTTTGTTTTAATTTTTATTTCTGGAGCTGTAGTTTTAAATAGGGCAGTCAGAGAAGGACTCTATGAGAGGGTGATGTTTGAATCAGGCCCCAGAGGAGGTAAAGGAGTGAACCTCAGGATCACTAAGTAAGAGCCTTCCAGGATAGGAGCTGAACTGGAGAGCAGAGAGAGATGACACCAGAAGCGAGTAGGCACAGGTCTTGCAGACCACGTTAGGCATTAGGACAGTCATTTTCAACTGGTGTGCTGTGGCAGGATCTTAGGTGTGCTGTGAAAAATTTTAAAGACCATTAATTAAATTATTTTCAAAAGACATTCAAAGCACAGTAAGTATATTCATTTTTTAACTTTTTTTTTGATCAACATAATTTAAGTGTACCGCGGAAATTTAACTACAGGTTCGAGTGTGCCGTGAGATAATAAAAGGTTGAAAAACACTGCTCTAGGCAGAGCCCTTGGAGGGCTCTGAGCAGAGTAGTGATGTGATGGGTTTTATACTTTAACAGGATCTATCTGGCTGCTGGGTTGCAAATAGTCGATAGAGGGAAAGGGTGGGATCAGGAAAGCAGTTAGGCGGCTATTTAATAAATCCAGGTGAGAGATGATGGTGTCTTGGATCAGGGTGGTAGTGATGGAGTTGGTGAGAAGCAGTCCATTTCTAGGTGCATTTCAAATGATAATTTACAAACTGGTTTAGGACACCAGCCATTTTTGCGAAGTTGGTAATACAATAAACTCTGCCATACATACCATGGTTAGGGAGGTCCAAAAAATTCAACCTAGTTGTGGAAAATGTAGGAGAGTTTCGTTTTTCATCGGATCTTTGCTGTTGAAGAAAGCACAAAAATAAGGATCATGGAACCCACATCACAGACAACTGCAGCGTAGTGAAATGAGGCAAACCCAAATTATCATGAAACTGCTACTTCCTCAACCCCTGTCCTCATTCCTGCAGAAGAGAAGAACTTTAGCCATTTCAAAACTAGCAAAAGGACCAGAGCCAACCATGGTAAACTCTAATTTGCATTTATTTGCAATTTGTACAGGCTTTACTATGCTACGTCAGTATCTGATTAATAGAATGGCATTAGCAATTGTTGAAACCAGAATGAGAGGTGCAGGCCATTAGTTCATAAAAATTCTAAAGAGAGGGCGGCACCTGTGGCTCAGTGGGTAGGGCGCTGGCCCCATATACCAAGGGTG